CTTTTATTACAAAATAATGCTTAGGATTTTTTTTCCTGCAGCCTGAATTTAAAGAGAGACTGAGAGGAAGCAGAGGGACTTGAGTGCAGGGGATGATGTGGAGTGTGTAAAAGCCAAGGTTGAGAAGAAAAATTTGGGTTCTTCTACCAGTAGAAGGACTCTTCACAATGTCTGTTCTCTCATCCTTGGGGCTGGATTTGACCTTTTATAGTGTGCTGACATATTCCTCTTCTGTTTGGCCATGTCAGGGATTACTCTTTTATTTTTCTCTCAAAATGTTGTTTCTACTTGCTTTGAGAGGGAAGGAAAAAATAAGCAACCCAACACTATTTTCATTCCCAAAACTCACAGTCCCCTGCTGAAACCATCAACGCCTCCTGAAATTCCAAATGGAGAAGCATTGCCTCTTTTTCATGTTTGCAGTGAAGTGAGGATTATAGTAATAGTATAAGTATTAGGCTGCACAAATTATACAATGAATGTAAAACAAAACTGGATTTGGTGAGGCAAAAAGGGATTTAAACAGCTGCTGGAAGTGAGAACAGATGATCCTGGGAAATCACTAGGAAATAGCATATAGTACTAATAATGGCAGTGTTATTATTTTTACTTTCCTGACATGCCAGCGCATTGTTTGCAGTATTTTTTCATAAAAATAGAATTTATTCAAGCAATTTGCCCTTAATGTGTGTAGTACAAATAGTTTATATTGTGCTTATATATCATATTAACAGTATTTGATTTGTGCTTTCTTTACAAATTGGAATCATTGATTTTTCTGTGGTTCTCATTTTGCACTTAGCCTGGTGCTTTCAGTTCCCATTTTAGGTGCTGGGCTTTGAAAAAGCTGATTTCTCATAAATTTATTCTCTTTTATAAACTGGCCTAGGTACCATGTTCCTTTTTAGGAATTGCTTGGCTCCCTTTTGGAGCCAAAAAATGTCTTACAAGTTTCAGCCTTCTCCAAAAGAGCATTAAGTGTTCTTCCCCTTCCTCAGAACACACAAACCCTCCATTTTTGACCTCAGGTGACATTCACTCTGGGTTCTGGCTGTTTTAATTCTCTTCTTTCTTGATTCCACTTTGTCCCAGTGATTGTGACAAAAATCTCTGGAGATGATCATCAAAAGTTTCCAAGCAGCTGCTGCTTGTAAAGGAACTTCTGTGTGTGTAGAACCCTTATCTCGATTCTCCTGTTATTTTATTCAACTTCCCCATCTTAATTTATCCACTAAAAATTTATTTGAATGTGTTCATTAATTCCTGCTTCAGTGTTTTCCAGGTGCTTTGAGACTGTTCATGTCAATCCCACCACACACCCTTTTTCCTCATTTCCCTGACCCAAACACAGCCTCTAGATTTATTTTCTGATGTTCCCAGACTGTGATAGCGTTTTAAAGGTTTCTGGAATTATTAAAAATGCTGTTTAGGACTTAAATCTCCATATAGAATGTTTCAAGTCTTGGTGAGCATAGTGGCACTCTCTAGGTATACACTGCCTTGATTTTATTTAGTTTCATTTTCTTGTCGATTGAGGTAGCCATCTAAAAATACAACAGAATCAATAAACAAATAAAAATTAGGCCTTTAAAAAAATTGTTTAATATAAGGACAGTTCTTTGGTTGCAATGATGTAGAAATCCTCAGCTAGAACTGCATGTGGGTGTTTTGCATCTTTCCTTATGTACATGGAATTGAATTTACTGTATCACTCAGATATTTGTTTTCTTGCTGGGATGAAAAAATTTTGAGCAGCAAAAGACTGTTTAGAAAAACCTCATAGCTCTGTGAAGACTATTTCCAACATTTTAGAAAGGAAATAATGAAAGCTGCTGATAGCTGAATACCTGCGCAGGGGTGTGGTTTGCACCAAGGAGGTGTCTCCATGATTCAGTTTAGTTTAATTAATTAATTTATTATATATATTTATTTATAAATATGTATATATTCTTAATTATTAATATGTATACATATTTAATTTTATTTATTTTTTATATTATAAAGAGACAGGACCTTGGGTTTGCTGTGCTGCAAGAGTGATAAATCTGAGTTAGATCTACTTTCTAAGTCTCTTGGGATTAAAGCTTTTGGGGAAGAGATCCATTGATGTGTTTCAAATCTATTGATTTGCAGTACAAAGGGACAATTTAAACTCTGAAGTCACCAAGTGAACTTTCCATTAAGTTGGGGAGCCTGTGGTCACAGCTCATTGGATCTTTATGAAGTAGAAAATGTGATGCAGACCACACTGGCATACTCTTAGAGGAAATCATGCATTTAACCATGGAGCAAAATACTGTAGCCAATTACATGAACATACACCTATTTTACACGTGGCTGATCTGAGCAGAAAGTATGAACAATGTGCATGCTATCTTGTTTTAGGGGGCTATTTACTTTTAAGTCAGTGATATGGGATAAAGTTTAGAGAAGAAAATGATTAATTTATGATTTCTATCAAGATTTTCTAAATGGAAAGCAGCCTTGCATGGGAATGTGTGAGTGGTCTTGAGCTGGCATCAGCAAAGACTAATTATAACCCTGCTATGTGTTATATAATTTATATATAAATTATAATCCTGTTGTGTGTTAATGTGTCCTGTTGTAGCCTATGTAGAAATGCTAACCTCTGAAACTGCATCTAGAAAAGAAAGAAAAATATTCAGGATTGAAATGAACTTCTTAAAAATGACTTTGACTCTATTAGAGGATGTTAAAATAAGTGCTGATTTATCAATTAGAGTTTTTCTACTTTAGAGTATGAGGCTATGTAAAAATCTTTACTTTCAAAACATCTGCTCTTAAATGTAACAGGGTGAACTTTCTAGCAGCATTAGATATTTGCAGTGGAACATCTTGTTTAATGTTGCTGAGACTTGTGAATTGATCTGGTTTTTATATATATAATATATGTGTTCCCATGCACATGTCCATGGACATTTAGAAAATGCCTTTCTGCATTTTAGTCACAGCAGTACCTTCCTCACTGTCAGGAAGTTAAGTAGCACATTGAAAGCTGGTAGAAAAATTGAGAACTAAAGTTTTACAATAAAATATCATGGGTGTATTTGAGAGTGTGTAAATTCCTGATTTATTTGCTGTTCCTCATGCCTCTGTCCAGGCTCTGGGCACTTTGAATGGCAGAAATTATTTTTTTTCCACATCTTTTTGCCTTTACACTAAAACTGGGGGGAAAGAAAATGCTTAAAATGTAATTTGAATAACACAAACTCTTTTCAGCAGTACTTCTGACTAATTCCATTGCTGAAAATAAATGAGGAGCTAAGACATTCTAAGCTGTACCATGATGGGTTGTTGTGTCTATTGGCACACGTTGTGCCTATTGGTATATGAAGATTAATGTGCTGCATGCCAGCATGTCCTTCCCTATGCAAAATATTCTGAGAGTGTTGAGGGGATTGGGGCAGGAATTATGCAGAGAACAGCAAAGCTAAGTGGAAGTAAATGAAGCATCCCCATCTGGCTTTGGTTCCTTGCAAATGGCCCCAGCTCTGGTTCCAATGGCAGTGACTGTTCATTCCTGCTCTGAGTTACAGGGCAGGTTCTGAAGCTCTGCTGGGTGCTCATTAGTCACGATTTCTCCTGTGGGATTGCTGGGTGTTGGGGATGTGTGCACTCAGGGAATGACAGAACCTTGCACTGAAAGTACCCAGGATATTCTTAAAATGTGATATCAGCCTGGAAGTACTGCCTCTGATTTCAGTGGATGCACACACTTCCCTTTTTCCTGCCACCTCACCAACGCTGTGGCTCATAAGAAAGCAGCTGCAGAGACTTCTAATCCCATATTCCAAAATGTCAGGGTAAGGATTAGTCCAGCTAGCAGCTCTCTCACAAGGTTTGCTATAAATACTTGCATCAAGAGTGCTGGAATTTCAATTTTCCTGTGATGGTTGGCATTAAGTGAAGGTTTGATATTGATGGATGTTACTAGGCAGTCTCAAAGGATAGAAATAAAGATTGTATTGGTTATAATACCCTCACTCTGTGTTCAGCTTTAGAAGTAGAAGGGCAAGTAGTCAATCGTAGAAGTACCCTAGAAAATACAAATTCATATCCATTTCATTTCAAGAGACAGATGGAATAAATCTATTTAGATTCTATTCAGGTTTTATTACAGAAAGGTGCAAAGATCCAGCATTCTCCACAGTCTTGTCATGTGTACTTAGCTGGGTGTCAAGGATTTTAGATTTCAATCTAATCTCTCTTAGCAGCATCCCTGGTTTCCTCAGGCAGATCCCTTGATTGCAGTGTCACAATGCTGTGCCTGTGGCAGGGGAATCAGTGCCACTTCACCTCCCTGGGCTGGGCTATCTCAAATCCCTCATGTGCTGTGCTGCCACTGGGACTGTGATCCTGCTTACAGCCTCTCAGGGCTTGATAAAATAAAATACAAATGCTAATAGTCTTGATAAAAGGGTGTGTGGGGCATGCCACTAGGTTTAAGTGGATTTTTACTGACCAGATTGTACTAGGAATTGTTGTCATGGATAGTGTAAATTAACAGTTAATAAATATGGGGTGATACCAAGGAAGAATAATGGAGGGAAAAGCTTTGTTGCAGGACAAAAAAAAATAATAATAGCAAGTCTTGTGTGAAAGCTACATAGAACAGAAATGAAAGAAAGTGCAGCCAGTTGTGCTCTATGAAATGTGTGTGTGGATTGCTGGGTTCTTGCTGAGGGCAAGGTGTAAATTCTTGTTTCTGGCCTGCTGTAGCCTGTTCACCCCAAAGTGGGTGGAAAAGATGAAAACTGATTCTCCACACTCTCTGTTTTACAGCTTTATGATTTTTTTCCTCCTGCTTTGAGCTGCAGACTGACTAGTCTTTCTTCTTTTTTTTTTTTTTTTTTTTTTTTTTATTGCCTGCAAAATGTGAAACAGATTTGTTTAGAAAGACAGACACGGCTCTCTTGTGTTTCTGGCTTCTGCTCTGGGTGGCTGGGCTCTGAGCTTGGATGACTAAGCAATTGTGACTTAGGTCTTTCCATCCTTCTGTCCTTCCTTCCTAGAAAGCTGGAAAATGTGACATTTTCCTCGAGCTTTATGTGTGATTTAAATGCCATTGGTAAAGATCTGCAAAACTTGGGGCAAAACTTTAAAACCAGTTTTGTACCCAAGCTCCTTCTCTACGATGAATAAATTTTTTGGATGCTGAATGTGTTGAAGGATGCTTAATAAAGGAACGAAATAGCAGCCTCCAGCTAAACTCAGCTTTCTGAGCAGGAAAGTAGAACCTTATTCCAAAAATAGGGAGCAACTATTGCTCAACAAAGTGAGTGGTGCCCACATAGAGTGAGCAGTGCAAAGGCTGAAGCTGGGAGGTTTGGAGCTGAGGAGACTCTGGTGCTGGAAGGGGCTCATCCCATCTCCTGAGAGGTAGGTCTGCATGTGCATGCCTGAAACAGAGCAGCTTCAGCCAGGATTCCAGGGGAAAAACTGCCCCTGACAGGAGTCAAACATTGTGGTTCCAGCCAGAGGGAGTAATTAGACTTGTTTGTATATTGAACAGCAGCCAGGGAGTTCTGATCGTTCTCAGAAAAGTGCTCCAATTTCCTAAGCTTAGTGTAGAAAAAATAAATAATTTTTTGTTTGTTTGGGTGGAGGAGTGGTGTTTTCTGGTGGGTGGTTTTTTTTTTTTTTTTTTATAGCTTTTAATTTCTTGTCTCTGAAATGCTGAAATACTGTTCGTGTATTATGAAGTTGGTATTTCAGAACTCGATATCATTCAGTTGTGATTCCATAGAACTTTTGCTGCTGATGGAATAGTGTCTGGATTCTTACTTTTCATACCATCAAAGCCTTCAGAGACATTGCTTTATTCAGATTCATTCTTATAGGAAATGGTAGTGCTAAAATTTCCTGGTAAAATCCATCTTCAGCACAGTTGTTTATCAGATCTATGCTTTCATTAATAAAGAGTCCCTGCTGTTGTTGGCTCCAGTACAACTTAATTAATTACTATTTGAAATATGGATGTGGTAAATGATCCAACTTAGTGAAACAGGAGAGCAGCTGTTACCTTGTTTTATGTTTGAAGTCACTGCCTTTTCTCCTTATTTGTGTGTGTCATCCCCTTTTTCATCTTCTGACAATGATTCCATAAATTTTGGACTCAGATTCATCTGTAAACCCTGCCCCCTGTTTTGTTTTCCCACTGTGTCATCTTGTTCTCCTCTGTACTCCCCATTTTATCATCTCATGTTGCACCATCCATTCCTGTCTCTCCCTCTTTTCTCTGCCATAGATTTTCAGAATCCTGGTCTCCCTTTTCTTTCTGGTTCCTCTCTTCAGCCATTCTGAGAGCCAAGTCAGTTGTTTCCTGCTCTGCTGGAGGAATTTTGCCACATTTCCTTGAGATCTATCTCCTGGTGACATGTGCCTAAATCCTTTCTCAAAACAACCTTATGGAATTCATTAGAAGTTTTTCCTATATGTTTCCATTTCCCCTGCAGTTGTTTGCTCTGGTCAGTTATTGAACTCGATTCATTTCTGCTCCTCTGTCTACTTCCTTTCCTTATTTTTATTTTTTATATTTTTTGTTTTATTCTATATTTTTATATTTTTATTCTTTAGTATTATTCTATATTTTATTCTACATTTTCTTATTTTTATTTTTTATATTTTTTATTTTATTCTACATATTTTTTAGTCTTTATTTTTATTCTATCTTTTATTCTATCTTTCTTTCCTTATTTTTATTTTCTTTTTTGCTGTATAGAAGAGACCCTGAGAGCTGCTGTTTTCTGGCACCTCCGCTGGCTGCAGGGTTCCCTGTCAGCATTTCTGTGCAGGGCGGGAGGGAGGGAAGGGGCACATTTCAGCCCTGAAATAATCAGTTCCATCCTCAGTGCCTTTCCGTGGATATCCTGGCACTGCAGGCTGTGTTCTCTCATTTGATTTCTTTTCTGCTGAGGATTTTTTGGAGAGTTTTCTCAGTGAAGCTCTCTGGGTTTGTTAAGCCCTGCTCTGAGCAGGGGGGATGGATGTGATCTCTGTGATCTCCAGAGGCCCCTTCCAACCTCAGCCCTTCCTGAGATGCTCTGAAGGGGGAGAGAACCAGGAATGGAGAGCAAAGGAATGGGTGTAGTGAGCACTGTGTGTTCATGGACAGAAACACCATGCCGAGCTCACAAAGGAATGGGTGTAGTGAGCACTGTGTGTTCATGGACAGAAACACCATGCAGAGCTCACAAAGGAATGGGTGTAGTGAGCACTGTGTGTTCACGGACAGAATCACCATGCAGAGCTCACAAATGCCACAGCAGAAGCTGTTTAACCTGCTTGTCTCAGCACTGAGGATGTAAATCCCAATTGCAAAGTTTCAGAGAGGCTGAAACAGCCAGGGGATAAATCATATTTGACTTCATTCTGAAATAATGGCAAACAATGAGTAGCATTCTAACCCATTTATTTGTTCTGTTAGCTGTGTGCTGTAGCATTTGAAATGTGCTCTGGCAATATAGTTTTAGTTATTTTAATAGTAAGGCTAAAATGAAAGAATATGTGAGCACAATTTGAGTCTTTGCTGTAGCTCTTAGATATCAAGGTCCAGTGTTTTATTTGTTCCAAAAAGGTTTAATTATTTCAGAACTGAACAGTTAGGGAGGATCTAGGAGTATTTATAGTAGGTAGAGCTACAGAGACCCCTAGAAATAGTCTTCAGTGCTTTATGCTTTTATAAATATGTGATAAAAAAAATATGTTCTCTAGAGACAGAAAACAGGATTTTAATGATTAAAAAAAATTTTGTATGAAATAATTGAAACAAAGGAGAGCATGAGGTAGGGAAAATACTGCAAACAACATAAATGTAGGACTTGCTTTTTAAGGAGCGTGATTTTCTTAGACTACCATTGTAGAATCAGACATGTACTCTAAAAAGTATCCAAGTCTCCAAGCTATTTCCTTTTTGAAATGAGATGTTGGATTACCAAAAAAAAAAAAAAAACCAAACCAAAAAGGCTTTATTTTCCTCATAGAAGTAGATGGAAGTCCCTTTATTTCATTTATATTCGATTCTCATTATCCTGGGACACAGAGTAAGGGCTGGGTGAAAAGGAGTAGGAGAATGAAAAATTCTGTCTTTATTCTTTGTCCAAAAAGTGTTTTTTCCCTATCCATAGGAACTAAGAAAGCCCTTGTGCTTAGAGGAATGAATAATGATTTATCACTCTTGAAACATATAGAACTGAGTAGGTTCATGGAAAGGTTGTCTGTTGGATTCAGTTTGCTCAATGGAAAGATGTCTAAAGGAATGATATCAATCTCTGGGTTTTTCCTGTAGCTATTTAAAGGAATTGTATGAAGTTTTAAAAAGGCAAAGTATATCATGTGTTAGTAACATGTATTGCTCATTATTATGCCTTATATGAAGTGTTTCCCTACTAATTGCTGTCCTAATAACTTTGTTTTATGCCTTCCTGCTGCCCCTTCAACCTCTTCCTTTATTTTGTCACTTTACTGCTAAAAGCACCAGATTCAAAATTATGCATGCCTGGGCTATAAATGTTTATCAACCCTAAGCATTCCCCATGGAGCAGTACCCATTCCCCAGTCTCTTCTGTGTTTGTTTTGTTTTTTTGTTTGTGGGGTTTTTGGTGTTTGTTTTGTTTTGTATTTGTTTGGTTTTTGGGGGTTTTTTAGTTTGTTTTTTTAATTTTTTTTTTCTTTTTCGTTTGGGTGGGGTTTTTGGGTTTTTTTGGGTTTTTTTGTTTTGTTTTTGAGGTTTTTTGGTTTGGTTTTTTTTTTTTTTGTTCTTTTTGGGTTTTATGGGTTTTTTTTCACAGAATTTATTTCTTCTGTTTTATGCACTGTTTCCACAGATTATTTCTTCTGTTTTGAGCATGATGTCAGAGGCTCCCAGCTCCACACCCATGGATTTGGGTGAGCTCTGAATGCCTGAGCCCTCTGAGAGTGGGGTGTGCCGAGCTTTTTTCCTTTCCAGTGACCTAAATGCCTCCCAGCAGTATCCAGTACAATCTATATTCTATAAATAAAATTCCCCAGGTGCTGAGGGTAGACTGAAGGAGCTGCAGGGTCTTTCCCCAAGCCCTTTGGTGCAGGTTGGACTAATCTTGGTCAGCTGGGAGCTCCCCAGACTGGCAGGTGATGGGGAGGGGTCACAGCTGAGCATCCCCAGCTCCTCCAGAGCTCTGGGGTGAATCCCATCAGGCCCTGGTGGAGGTGTTTGTTTATTTCCTTTTGCAGAAATTTCCCTCAAGGTGTTTTGTGAGTGAAGAATTGTCCTGATTGATGGTGTGATAAACAAATACAGCTCAGGATGCCAGAGAGCAGAGTGTTCACCTCCAGGATTGCTTTTGTACTGATGACATGACGGTTTTCATCTCATTTGAAGTGAAATGTGAGTTGTAACTGCAGTTCAGGTAATGAGGGAGTAACCCCAGGTTTTCTGTGCCTGTTGGGATCTGCTTTGGGCAGGTTTTTGCAGTTCTGCTGTTTCCAAAGGCTTTGTTCCACTCTGGCAGTGGCAGCTGAAGCCATGTCTCTGTCACAGGGCTCTAGGATAATAAATAAGGGTTTTTTTTGGGTTTTGGTTGTTCTGGCTGAGACTCCTGGAGCTCTTGGGCAGAGATGACCACTCTGATCCCCAAGCCCTCAGCACGGTGCATTTCCATTACTGGTTTCACAAATCCACATTGCCTGCCAGCCAAAATGAACAAGAATTCTCCTGTTGAAAAGGAGCATCAAGGTGATATTAGAATCCATTGTTCAGCTATCCACAGATCTGTTCCCACATGGAAAAGCAGGGGAACCATGAGCAGAGATGACACAGCTGTGGCAGTTCTGTGTTTCTGTCAGTGTTTGAGGTGTTCCAGATGAAGTGAGGAGGTGCAGGCAGTGCCTTATCCACGGCTGGGATTATCAGCAGGGTAACAAAGCACAGTGGAGGTGGTAAATGATCATTATCTGCTGCAGGGCAGGAACTGGGACGTGTGATAAATGAAAATAATGTTTGTGTGTGACCAAAAAGTGAGAAAAGCCCGTTCTTACAGGGTACCCCTATGATCCCTGGGCAGGGTGCTCAGCTTTGTAGGCTCACACGCTCCCCAGGGCTAAGAAAGAATTATCTCCATGCTTTGCTATACTCTCTGATTTTCCTTTAGCAAACCACTGCTATGATAGTGAATATTTCCCAAAGAGAAGGACCAAAACCTGTACAATTGATGGCAACCTTTTCATGTGTCTGTTAGCAATCACTCCAGAACAGGTAAAACTGTATTGCAGAAGGCTTGTAAAGAATACAAGCATGGCTTTGGGAGACTGGCACAAATATTTCTGAAAGCCTTGGCTGGTTCTAATTCAGCACTTCAAGCTTTTCCTTTGCTTAAGATGGGAAAAAAGTATGTTTTTAAACA